GAGAACATTATGCTAAGTGAAATAAATCAGTCAGAAAAAGCTAAGAACTATCTGATATTACTCATATGTGCAATAAAAAAAACTGAAACTCATGAACACAAACAGCAGTGTAGTGATTGCCAGAGGGAAGGGGTGGGGGGAGAAGATTTGACTTTGGGTACTGGGCACAAGGTGCAATATACAAATCTTATAACATAGAAATCCACATGTGAAACATATATATTCATGTTGACCAATGTCATCCCAATAAATGTAATACATAAAAATAAAATAAATTTAAAAATATCCTCAGCTGATGATTAACAAAAAAGTAATGATAATAAAATAAAATTTAAAAAAAGAATGAGAATATAAAAAAATAAAACATTTCTGTTTTAATTTCCAATACAGTAAATGCTGATAAATGTAACTGCATAAACAAAACTCTTCAGATGTCAGAATTATTTTTCAGAGTGTAAAGAGGTCTTGGGACCAAAAAGATTGAGAGCTACTTCCATAGAACATACTGTAGTATGGTGCTACTTCTTAACATTTTATGGCTATGTGAACTGTTTGTTTTTTTATCCCTTTGATCACTGCAAATTCCAAATGATCGCTCAAGAATGTACTGAACGTTTTTCTAGACAATGAAAGACATCTATGGAATGATAATACAAAGCTTAACTTTTAAAATAAGCAATTATCCCAAGCACTATTTTTCATTCCTCTCAGGCCTGCTCTCTCACCATACCATGGAATCCCAGTCCTGGGAGAATGAGTGGAATGCAATAAAATTCAGTGATCTTGGAACCCTCTATTTCCTATCCAGGGCTTTCAAAGATAGGCTTATACCAAAGTGAATCTGCATGTAGTGCCTGAGTTTAGGGCATGACAGCACATGCAGGGCATGGGCCCGGTGAGGTTAGCCATGGAAGATACACCCTTGAAGAGTTAATGTCCTAAAGCTGAAGCAATCTTTTTTTCCTCAAATCCTACCTATTTTTCAAATGCACAAAGGTTTTCTAAGTACTAGGAGAAAATATTGCATTCTTCCATTTATACATCATTCACAACATTTGAATTTCTTTTATTTAGCCCTTCATTATATTGTATTAGATATTTTTACAAATAATAATGCTCAATATGTTTTAAAACACGAACCTATCTTTTCCTCACAACTTGCACTACTTGAGTTTATTATACATCAACACTCATCCAACAAAATGCATCACCAAGTGCAAGAATTCAGCCATCACTGTTTATTCTTTCTTCCCCCTAAAATTTTCCACTCATTTAATCTATTTTACAAGTCACCATTAATAACTCTGTTTTACAAATGAGATGAGTGAAACTTTAAGAAAATTATAACTTGTTAGTAAATAATGGAGCAGGAATTCAAAGTCAGGGTATATGAGTTCAGAGATTAATATCTTACCAATACACTTTACTGTCTGTTTCATGTGACTGGTAACTTGTTCTCCTAATATCAGCAATAGCCTAGCAACGACTACAACATTAGCATTCTCAGGAACAGCTGGGTGTTGTCAGCAATCAATCAATGTTTATCTCTCACATTGATGTTCTCTCTCTCTCTCTCTCTCTCTCTCTCTCTCTCTCTCTCTCTCTCTCTCTCTCTCTCTCTCTCTCCCTCTCTCTCCCTTTTTCCTCCCTCTTCCTTCTTCTCTCTAAGCATGCCCTCAGGTGAAGATTTACAAAAAAAAGAATAAATGACAACAATAAAAACAACTGTCACTGAGTTCTTACTATCAATATTTTCAGTCAGTGTATTGCATAATTTATATGAATTTTCTCATTTAATTCACACCATAGCCATATGAGGTAACTGCTATATCTATTGCAATTTTATAGGTGAGGGAATGAGGCTCAGAAAACTTAAATAATTTCCTTGAGGTCAGTGGTGATAAAAGGTTGGATAAACAGCTAGAATATGAATGAAGACCGGTTTGATTCCAAATCTCTACTTCTAACCACAATATCTTATTTTTTGTTTGTTTGTTTGTTTGTTTGTTTGTTTGTTTTGTTACGTTAATCCTCACTCAAGGATATTTTTCCATTGATTTTTAGAAAGAGTGGAAGGGAGGGGGTGAGAGAGAGAGAGAGAGACACATTGATTGGTTGCCCCCTGCACTCACCCCGACCAGGGAGGGAGCGTGCAGCTAAGGTTGGAATCAAGCCTGGGACCCTTCAGTCTGCCCACTAACTTTCTATCCTCTGAGCCAAACTGGCTAGGATTTCACTGCCTTATTTTAATGAGAAAGTTAGCTCGTCGTGGGTAAAGATCTTACAGTAGCAAGATTCACTTCACTCTTTGGAATTATACAGAAATGAGTTGAAACTCATTTCAAACAGACAATCTATATGACTTAAGCAAAGTTATTAAACCTCCATTGTGAAAGTGTCAACAATGCCAGTCTAACAGAGCTGTGATTAAAAGGGTTATGTATCTTACCCAGCACATGAGAAGTATTCAGTAAACAAAGAAACCAAGGCTTGGAGAGAAGAAATCACTCACCCAGGGTCACAAAGAGAGAAAGCTCCGAGAAAGAGATTCCAATCCAGGTCTTCAGACTTTAGATAAAATGTTCTTCCCATTACTACACACTGCCTCAGTAAATAATTTTATGAAATGACCTCTTATTTTCTCTATTTATATCTGAATCCAGTCTCAGACCAGATTGAAGAAATGTATATTGCAGAGAAAAAGAACTTATTACATATATAATATTGGTTGGTATTATTACCAGACAATTTTAATCAGCTTAACAATAACCCACAACCTTCGGATCAACTACCAGACAATTTTAAATGAAGAAGATTAAGACATATCCTCCTCAAAACCATCAATAACCATTGAGATGCATCAATTGCATTGGCTCATTATACTTCTAGCAATCTAGTCTCAAAGAATGGAAAAAAAAACAAAACCTATATACATTAAAATGTTTAGTGTAGTCTTTAAAAAATAATTATGCAAAATTTAAAATAATAAAATATCTTACATTATTATTAAACTAGAGGCCTGATGCACAAAATTCATGCAAGGGGTGTGGCCCTCACAGCCCCGGCTTCATCCAGAAGGTCGCCTGAAAGATCGTCTGGACAGTTGTTCTGTTGTTTGGTCTAATTAGCATATTAGCTCTTTATCATATAAGATAATTTGGAAGAATATCTACTCCAAAAGTTATTACACATCTATTCTCAGGATGCTATGAAGATTATGCAGTTATAGGAAAGTCACTTTTAGAATGATGTAAAGTGAAATCAGAAGGCTAAAAATTGTTTCTATGTGATCCCAACCATGCTCTTAAAAAGAAACTGAGAAGCTTGTAAATATCCAGGCTGCTAGAAATGATCAGTGGTGATTTTTTCCTCACATTTTACCTAATATTTTATTCTACATATTTTATCTAATGTAAAGTTTATTTTAATAATTAAAAGATACAATGAAGAACTGCAACACTAAATTCTATTGGAAATTTTTTAAAAATATATTTTATTGATTTTTCACAGAGAGGAAAAGAGAGGGATAGAGAGTTAGAAACATTGATGAGAGAGAATCATCGATCAGCTGCCTCTTGCACACCCCCTACTGGGGGTGTGCCCACAACCAAGGTACTTGCCCTTGACTGGAATCGAACCAGGGACTTTTTAGTCCGCAGACCGATGCTCTATCCACTAAGCCAAACCGGTCCCGGCTATTGGAAATTTATTATATTAATTATCTATATCAATGGTTGGCAAATTGGCTCACAAACCATATGTGGCTCATGAGCCGCAGTTTGTTGCTCTATTGACTAATGAGTTTGCCAACCACTGATCTATACTAATAAAAGGGTAATATGCTAATTAGACTGGGTCAACTGGCCATCTTCCGGACATCCAAGTTCCTTCTGGACAAAGCCATGGTGGTGGGGGCCAAGGCAGAGGCAGTTAGGGGCAATCAGACCAGTAGGGGAAGGCAGTTGGGGGTGAGATCAGACTGGCAGGTGAGGGCAGTTAGGGGCAATAGGCAGGAAGAGAGGCAGATAGGGGTGATCAGGCCAGCAAGGGCGGATAGTTGGGGGCAACCAGGCCAGCAGGGGAGGGCAATTGGTGGCGAGATCTGGCCAGCAAGGGAAGGCAGTTAGGGGTGATCAGGCAGGTAAGCAGAGAGGTTAGGGCAATCAGGCAGACAGGCAGGTGAGCTGTTAGAAGCCAACAGTCCCAGATTGCAAGAGGGATGTCTGACTGCCAGTTTTACAGGGATTGGGCCTAAATCGGGGATTGGACATCTTCCAAGGGGTCCCCAATTGGAGAGGATGCAGGCTGGACTGAGGGAATCCCTTTCTCCCCCCATGCACAAATTACGTGCACTGGGCCACTAGTGTTTTATTATAATAGCCACCAGAGAAGTAAAGAGTGAACAAATGGATTAAAAATCCCAGAAAAAGATTCAGCATCTTTATGAATTTTACTCCCTAATTCATATTCTTAACTGGAAACCCTAGGCAAACTCAGGTCCAGACCAAATATTGCTCCTGAGCAGTTGCAGGAAGAATGCCTACCTCTCCAAAAGTGAGAAATAAATCCAGTTTTTATTGAAATGCTATCTGGGGCATTTCACTGCTGTGAACACCTGGCATCCCCTGAGTCAGGCCATGCCCAGAGCAAGGGAGATTATGAGTGAAGTCTAGCAATGTAGTCTCAGAGAATGAAAAACAAAAGAAAACAACAAAAATAACAATAACTATATACATGGAAATGTTTAGTGTAGTCTTTTAAAAACAATTATGCAACAATAAAAATAATATAGTATCTTACAACAGAGAATTATGAAATGTGGTAGGACTCAAATCCTTCTGTTTGAGAATCTACTGCCTTGAAATAAAAAGGAGTTGTAAGACAGGCCCTTAGAAAAGGTTGGTATTCAGGCAAAGAACACAAGATCTTCACTTAGCAACCCTTTGATCCCAGAGGTGGTAACGGGGAGGAGGAAGAGGATTCTGTTACCATATTCTTACCATCATCCCTTAGACGCCTTCCCACGATTTCCACTCCCCGATTCACTGCATTTTCCAAGTTTTCCGAGGGCTCCTGGAAGGCCGAGTTTTTCATTATCAGGACGCTGATCTCGTAGCTGCCATTGCTGCATTTCTGAGTCACCTTGTCGTTGAAACACAGGAGCCCCGGACAGAGGAGCAGTGACCACAGAGTCAAGCCCAACAGTGGTTTTTTCATGACCTCGTTCACCTCAGGACCATACTCCTTGTGCTCAGTTGTTTTGCTCTGGGCTTTTAGGGAGACGGGAGCGCCAGCTGGACAGCCTCTAGCTGGGCCCCTCGGTCTACTCTGCCACACGTTGCTTTCTGGTCACGTGGGCCATGGAATACAGCCTGCTTGCCAGTAATAAGCAGCTACATTATGGTAGGAGATAAACCAAAGTTCACTTTTTGTGTTTGTTCACAGAAAGGTCAGAGTTATAAACAGGGAGATTACCTGGGCCTCACCCAATAAAAATACATCAATTGATGACACATCACTGGGAAGAGGGAAATATGGTTTGTACATAAAAAATATTTGTAATGTGGAAAAATAAGGTCAGAAGGCTTAACAGAAGCACAAATATGATGGACTGTTAGTGTTTAGGTTCTAACTGTGCATTGAAACTGAATCCTTAACTAGGAAGAACTGTTTTTCAGCCACTCAGTTGGCAATTATTTGTTAAGACTTGACTATTTGTTGGGTATTAGCAAAACACTAGGCATACATACATGAATGATATGGATGCAGTAATGTCCTTATGATACATGCATTCTAGTAGGGAAGATAAACATTAAACAAACTAGAGGCCTGGTGCATGAAAATTCATGCATTGGAGGGGAGTTCCCTCAGCCTGGCCTGCCCTCTCTCACATTCTGGAAGACCCCAGGGACAGGAGGCTACCCGGTGATCAGGGGAAGGTGACGCCCCCATTACACCTCTGCTGCTGTCACTGCCGGCAGCACAAGCCTTGGCCAGCCCTGGTTACCTGAGCCTCGAGTAGTCTTGGGCAGCTGGGCAGCCACCATCCAAGGCTTGCCTGCACCTCAGGCTGGCTCTGGGCAGCTGGCGGGCTGAGGGCGGGTGTGGCCACACTGTGCACCTGCCACCCTCTTGGCAGGGCTGAAAGGACTGGAGGAATCCAATAAAACTGAGGGGACTGGGCACTGCCATCTTGTGGCTATGGGGGCTGCCACCATTGTGACGGCATTACGGTCAATTTGAATATTCCCTCTTTATTAGATAGGATACTTATGAATAAATTCATCAATGAAAAAAGTGTGAAATGTTGTGGGAGCTTATGACAGATTAACCTAATCTATTCTAGAAAGTCAAGGAAGCGTTCCAAGGAAAGCATTCTTTAAGTTGAACCCTGCAGGTTCCATAAGAGTTAGCTAAATGGAACGAGAGAGAGAGAGGGGGGGGGGCATGTGAAGGAGGGAGACAGCTTGTATAAAGGCCCAGATATGGGAAGTGGTATGGATGTTTGAAGAACTGAAAGAGATACAGAATGGCTGGTGTGGAGAGAGGTATGAGTCCAGTGGCAATAAAAGATGCCAGAGGAGTAGAAGGGTAGGCCATGAGGTTTCTTATAAGCCATTAAGGTTTTGGAACTTAAGCATAAGAATCAAGACAAGGATGTGATCAGATGAAATTCATAAAGTGGTCTTGGAGAGGTCTTAGGCTGCTAAGGGAAGGATGAACTTAGAGAGAAGCAGGAGTGGGGACATGGAGCAAGTTAGGAGGTTGTTTCTATGGTCCAATTCAGAGGTAAAGGAGGACTGGATAAGGGCAGTGGCAGTGGAGATGGGATCAAGAGACAGATACAAGGTAAAATGGATTAGACTTTGTATTGGATTTGGGGCATTGGAGTCAGAGAAGGGTCAGTGGTGACTGCTGATATGCTCAGCTGTGTAGATGGGAAAGCTGTGGACTATGTTGTAGAATTCTGGGAGAGGAGCAGCTTTGAGGGAGAAGAGAATTACTTCTGTTTGTGAACATGCTGATTTTAAGGAGACTGTGCAAGTGAGAGAATAGTCACCAGGGAGTTTTGGGAAGAGCACCTGGACCTAAACAGGGCTTTGGAAATATAGTTGCAGGTGTAGTATGACTGATCAAATAATGCCATGGTTTGCATCATAGACTTGATGACCACATATGGCAAAATTTATGTTCTAAAGTGAGTGGCATCAACAAGATGGAGGACTAGGAGATCCCAGCCTTCATCCCTGCACAAAACCAAGAAATTAACATTTACTCACTGAGGAGAAACCAAGATGGCGGCATAGGGTAGACACCTGAATGCAGCCTACCACAACAAATTTGAATTTAGAACTGGAAAACAGGGGAAACATCTCCCTGAAGCACTGGCTGGTTGGCTGAGAGGAGGCTCTACCATCTGGGAAGGAGAGAGAAGGCACGCTGAACCTCAGGAACTGTGAAGGTGAGGTGAACTGCACGCATGAAAAGGCAGCTGCCCGACTTCGCTGCTTGCTTGCTTGAAGGCAGGTGGAATTTGCTGCTGGTTTACTCCCTGCACGTGGAGAGGGTGGACAGCTAATGCGTGCCTAGCTTTTTTGTTTGGGAGGAAAACAGAACCACCCTATTGCTCTGATAGATGGCCCCAGACAGAGAAAGGCCAGACTGTAGGGCAGTGGGTAGAGATCTCTGGGAGGTGTGTGAAGACAGCAACCATTACTGTGGGACTCAGAAACCAGACCCTCATAGGGAGGGGCTGACCAAAGCTTGTCTTCACCACTCGAGACTCCACCCCACCCAAGCTGAGCACAGAAGCCCTTCCAGTGGTTAGCTTTCTCGTTAATAGGACTCTCCTAGGGAGGGACAGACAGGAATCCAAAGCTTGTCTATGCCTGTACCAAAGAGGTGCGTGTGCCTGCAACCAATCTTGGGGGATTCACACAAAGCTTGGCTGTGCCACCCCTAGACTCCACCCCATCTAAGCGGAATACAGAAACCCTCCTAGCTGAGACACTTCTGATCCTCATAGCCAATTGACTTGGAGATCAGCGCTTCCCAGTGATACCAACAACAAGCAAGGCTTAACAACAAGACTGCACACACAGCCCACAAAGGGCTACACCAAGACTCTCCACTTCAGGTAACTGGGAGGCTGACCCACTGTACCATATAGGACACCTTAGCACACAAAGCCATCCTTCCAACTCAGGGAAGCTGTGAAAATGCTGAGACAAGGAAACAGATCACAAACAAAAGAAATGGAGGACAAGAAGAGACTGCATATAGAGTTCAAAACTATGCTTATAAGGTTTTTCAAGAATTTCCTAGAAAAGGTCGATACAATAAATGAGACCTATGAGGATTTGAAAAGGGATCAACTAGAAATAAAGAATACATTGTCTGAAATAAAAAAATATTATACAGAGTCCTAAAAACAGAATGGAAGATCGCAAGAATCAAGTCAAAGATTTGGAACACAAAGAGCCAGAGGACACTCCTCCACAGAAGCAAGAAGAATCCAGAAAGTTGAAGATAGTGTAAGAAACCTCTGGGGCAATTTCAAATGAACCAACATCAGAACTATGCAGGTCCCAGAAGAAGAGAAAGAGCAAGATACCGAAACAATACTGGAAGAAATAGTGACAGAAAACTTCCCCCACCTGGTGAAAGAATTAGACTTACAAGTCCAGGAAGCGCACAGAACTCCAAACAAAAGGAATCCAAAGAGGACCACACCAAGACACATCATAATTAAAATTTCAAGAGTAAAAGACAAAGAGATAATATTAAAAGCAGCAAGAGAAAAGCAAGTAGTTACCTATAAAGGAGCACTTATATGATTGTCAGCTGATTTCTCAACAGAAACCATGCAGGCCAGACGGGAATGGCAAGAAATATTCAAGGTGATGAATAGCAAGAACATACAGCCAAAAATACTCTATCCAGCAAAGCTATCACTCAGAATCCAAGGCCAGATAAAGAGCTTCACAAATAAAAAAAAAGCTAAAGGAGTTCATCACCGCCAAACCAGAATTATATAAATTGCTGAAAGGGGTTCTTTAGGAAGAGGAAGAAGATAAAGATAAAAATTATGGTCAACAAATATGTAACTATCAACAAGTGAAACTAAAAGCCAAGGGAATTAAAAAACCTGATGAACAATATTAACTGGTGAATATAATAGAATCAGAGGTATGGAAGGGTAGTGGACTGACGATTCTCGGGGAAAAGGGGAGTGCGGGGTGCAGAAAGAGCCTGAACAAAAACTGTGCACCTATGGATGAGGACAATGAGGGGTGGGGAAAGGGCAGAGGGTGGGATGGGAACCTGGTGGAGGGGAGCAATGGAGGGGGGAAAAATGAGGAACATTTGTAATATAATAATATGAACAATAAAGATTTATTTTTAAAAAAATTACTCACTGATAAAAATAGCTGTGGGGGAGCTGCAGCAACCAGTGGAACACAAAAACCAAGATGGTCCCGCCAGTTTGAAATGCAGTTGGTGGGGGTAGGTGGTGGGATCTCGCAGGTGTCTGAGTAGTCCTTTCTCTGCCTTGCTTGTTTGAGCTTTAGCAGAATTGGCTGGAAGTGAGGCTGGGAGGAACTCAGGTTTCTTGCTAGGAGAGAACTAGTTTCCGGTGGGGGCTTTAGTCACACCTGAAATCTAGGACAGCCAGCATGGACGTGAGGGCGTGACTGCTGCTGTGTACAACATGGTAACCTAGAGCACTTCACCACCGAGGTACTTGAATTGGCAGGAAATACATCGACCTGTTGTTTTTTTGTTTTTTCTTTCTTTCTTTCTTTCTTTCTTTCTTTCTTTCTTTCTTTCTTTCTTTCTTTCTTTCTTTCTTTCTTTCTTTTCTTTCTTTCTTTCTTTTCTTTCTTTCTTTCTTTTTTTTCTTTTTTTTAAATTTACTTCAGAAAGGAAGGGAGAGGCAGAGAGAAATGGAAACACCAATGATGAGAGAGAATCATTGATTGGCTGCCTCCTGTGCACCCCCTACTGGAGACCAAGCCCACAGTCCAGGCATGTGCCCTTGACCAGAATAGAACCTGGTACTTTTCAGACCTCAGGCAGAGGGTCTATCCACTGAACCAAACTGGCTAGAGCAATGTGGAAAGATTTAAAGGTAAAGTGTATCATCCCTTGTCATTTGCAACTTGCTGTTCTTAGAGATACAAGGCTGGCTATTCAAGGCTACAATTGCTGGTAGTGATGTCATTCTACACATCCACAAATCTGTAATTGGGAAGAAAGGCTAACAGATGATTATGTAAAGGATGCCTGGATTTCTATTATATCAGGACTCTAAATTCTCTAACAACTCTCCGGTGTTGGTGATTCCAGTGGACTGTATCTCTGAAAAAGAACAA